AGTGGAGATCCTTCTGGGCTCGCCAAACATACCAATGACAGTGGGGCCCGCTCAGCCAACCAGTCCCCACAGTCTGTGGGCAGTTCTGGCGTCGACAGTGGCGTGGAGAGCACCTCAGATGGCATGAGGGACCTGCCATCCATTGCCATCTCCCTCTGCGGAGGCCTCAACGACAACCGGGAGATAACTAAAGGTACTGTGGCCGCGCCTGCGGAGTCTGTGTTTTAAGACAAGCGCTCCCTCTTGTGGCAGCTCGTCAGAACTTCCAGAAAACCAGCTTCATTCGTTCCAACAGCCGTTTATGGATAACTTACTGTTCTTCATCATCCAAATGCTTAGCTAGCTGACCTCAGAGTTCTGTTGTTTATGCATGGCTTTAGGTAACAGCAAAACCGTTGAGGTTAGTATGGGTGTATTTAGCCGTTCATGGGCAGGGAGAATGTGCGGTTCAGGGGGAACATCAAACTTACTGAGAGTGCTTTGGAAATACATGGAAAGAGTTGTGAGGCCTTGGGGGAGAGAAGGAGATCTAAGTTTCCGAAGGAAGTATGTGATTATGGCACAGTTGGATTTGAAGAGTGCTGTTAGGCGAGGAGCTGTGCTGCCAACCCGAAGGCTTGTGGTTCGAATTCACCAGCTGCTCTGAGGGAAAAAGATGGGGGCAGTTTCCTCCCATGCAGTTTCCTGCCTCTGACAAAGAGGACTTGAAACACTTCCTGCAGAAGAGCACACGTCATAGCTTTCAGTATGGATTACATCTCAAAGATAAAAAAAACCCCCAAAAAACCAACCCCAAAATTCTCACCCCCAGGAGAGTCAGCTATGGATCAATTCTGACTTGATGTTACATAACAAATGAGCTTGGTATAGGCCATTTATTGCTACCTTTTTTGTGTCTATTATTTCCATATAAATGATCAGACCATATGTGTATGGAGCTGTGTATCTATCTATCTATCTATCTATCTATCTATCTATCTATCTATCATCTATCTGTATCTCGCAGGAAACTAATGCCTGGAGGGGTGAGGGGATTTCAGTTTGCAACCAACCAACCGAACAAAAAAACACCCACATCTTTATAATATACACACATACTTTTACAAACGGACCTCACCAGGCAGACTGCATAGAAATCAGATAGACTACACTATGGAAGAAAACATTGGAGAAGCTCAATATCAGCAGTCAAAACCAGGCTAGTGGCTGACAGTGGAACAGAGCATCAATTACTCATGTGCAAGTTCAAATTGAGGTTGGGGAAAAAAAAAGAAAACAAGTCCAGGACAACCAATATATGATCTTGAGTATATTCCACCTGAATTTAACAACCATCTTAAGAATAGGTTTGAAGCACTGAACTCCAGTGGTTGAAGACTAGATGAGTTGTGAAGGATGTTAAGAAGGATATCATCCATGAAGAAAGCAAAAGGTCACTAAAAAGACAAAGAAGAAAGAATAAACCAAAATGGATGTCAGAAGATAGCCTGAAAATTGTACTAGAGGGTCGAGAAGCCAAAAAAAGGGAAGAGATGCTGAAGTGAAAGAGCTGAACAGAAGATTTCAGAAAGCAGCTTGGGAGGGCAAAGCTAATTCTATACTGGAATGTGCAGAGACAGAAATAGAGAACAAGAAGGGAAGAAGATACTCAGCATGTCTCAAGCTGAGAGAACTAGAAAACAAATTCAAACCTCAAGTTGCAATACTTAACGGATGCTATAGGAAAAATGTGGAATGATGCAGGAAGTATCAAAAGAAGATGGAAGGAATACACAGAATCACTGTATCAAAAAGATTGAACTATTTCAGGAAGTACCACATGATCAAGGGCCAATGGTAGTACAGGAAGAAGTTAAAGCTGCACTGAAGACATTGGCAAGCAACAAGCCCCAACCCAGTAAGACTTCACCAGCCTCCAGATGTAGGTGAAAACAGTGATCATCACAACCACTAATGTTTTTACTGAGCCATCACTTTTGTTTCTCTCTTTCTCTCTCTCTCT